CTTTCTGTGCCCTCACGTCTCTGTGTGCGTTTTATCCATCTGTTAATCTGGCTGCAGATGGTCTCAGCCCTCCCCTTACTGAAGAGCTCCAGCCTAAAGGTTTGCCAAAAAATAAACCCAGCACAGCATTAACAGAAAGCCTTGTTTGTTGGTTAGTTTTTTCAGGTAGGTATCAGGTTCTGTTTTCAGTAAACTTAGAAGCTAATCTATAACTTAGAACTTAGAAGCTAATCTATAAGCATACTTTTGAAAAATGTGGAAAATGTGCTTTTTAAATACCTTTTTACTGGATTTTTTTTTCATATATTGTAGTAGAACAGTGATAGCTAAGGGTTTTTAAGGATTATGTTAAAAATCAGTGTTGTGAATTATTATCGGTGCCTTCCCTTTATTGATCTTCAAAGTCTTGCTTTTGTGTCTGAAATCTATGAAAAATCCCCAAGATAAGCAAGCATACCAGAAACAGATTTACTTGTTTCTCGGGTTAGTTCTTTTTTAGAAAATGTGTTTTTGTGGGAGAGGAGCGAGCTCCCTTTCCCTTTCCTTTCCTCCCCCCCTTTTTTTTTTTTTTTGGTCCTTTTCCCATGACCTTTTTTTTTTTTACGTTCTTTCATGTAGAAAGACATCTAGAGTTTGCTAAAGTGAAAACTTTAACCATATTTATAATTATAAAAAACAATGTATATGAAGTAAACACAAAAGTGTATTTGAAGTCCAAAAATCATGTATTCTGTGTAAGTGTACATACTAGTTCAGCAATTTTTAAGAAAAGCTGTTAATAAAAACTTTTCAGAACACCTGCAGCAGACAGGAATTCCATCTGGATCTCAAGACAAAGTTTCGGTTCCCGATTCTGGACCAGAAATGGCTGAACCTCAGGTGGCTGTGTCTCCTGTGGTAACATCAAAGTTGTCTGTTAAAGCACCAGAGTTTTATCCATCAGGATACAACCAGAACTTCAATCAGAACTTTGCAGTGAGTGTTTATCTTCTTTTCTTAGTATATGCCAATTTACTTACATTCAAATTAACAATGTTTTCTTGAAATCTTGTATATCAGATAACTTGAATGCTCCACTTGCTGAAGAGATTCCAAAAATTCTGATAATCTCCAAAGTTCCTGTCAGATTGTTAAGTGATAATGAGTTAATATTATGGTGTGTATGAGGTATTTTGCTAAAGCTTCCTGCAGATAACCACATTCCTTGTTAATTAAACCCAGGATTGATTACACCCAACATCTGAGTAAGCTGTCTTTTTGGTGACCGCCACCATCTATGCTGCGTTTTAAGTAAAGGCTAGCTGCACATATTTCACAGGTTTTTGAAGCTTGAAAGCTTGAACTTTAGCTTTTCTGAGCTAGGCTTTACCTTTCCTAAATTTACTGCGTCATGGTTATGATATACCATAACTGTCTAACTCAGTATACTCTCATGCATTTTTTTAATTCTGTCAGTGCTGTTGTATCACTGAAGGGCAAAAAAGCAGGGTTAGTGTCTTTCCTAGGAGTTACCTACCCACACACCTACTAAGCATATTTTCAGCCAGACTTAGGATGTTCTCAGTTTAATATTGTAGATGCATCATGTAATAAAAGTTGGCACTTCTGTTTTCTACTCTGTTGTCTTCCGTATTACTGCTTCAGTAACTCTACTCCAGGGAAGATCTATGTGAATTTTTGGAATATCCTTTTGTAATGCAAGCAGCCGAACTAGTACTATATATAGTCAGGTGGGCACTATTGTTACGAATATAATCAATTAAGTGATAAAAACAATTATACTGGGACAGGTAGGTTTTTTAATAATTTACAGAAAAATACTTAATTTAAATGCTGAACATCGTGGTTTGGTGTTTTGAAGTATTTTCCTCAGCAGTAAAATTGATGTTATCTTGATGTTACCACCTCTGCCAGCTTGATGAATTGAATTACTGTCCTGAATAATATAAGCCCATAGCCAATATACAACTGTTAACAAAATCCTAACACAAACATGCTTCGGTGAATAGATAATCTAGGGGAAAAAATACTGTTTTGCCCCTATACATGTTACATGTTTTCTACAAATAAAGGATTTCAGTTTCAAGACCAAAAAACTGTTAATTGGAATGGCATACATAATGCATACTTAGAGTTATTAAGTTTTTGAAGCCAGCAGTGCTGCTTTTTAGCTCTTTTGAAAAAACACACATGTGGGAGTTCCTGGTTGCTATGTTGTAGGAATATGCTATAAATGTGACAGACTCATCTATTAATAAAAATATATCTTAAAACACTAGCAAAATCTAGAACATTTATTTGGGAGTAGGTTTCAGGGACCTTAATCTAATCATGATATACTAGGCATAGAATAGTGCATTTCAGACTTTTGTCCTTCACTATTACAAAGTTTGTGGTTTTTTTCTTTAATGACCAAATTAACTTCATAAGTTGGTCTCACTTGCAATAAAGACATTCAGCAGACTCTACTATTACACAGATTTTGACTATGAGTTTTGCAATTTGAATCAAAACAAAATTTTGAGAAACTTCTGTTTTTCTGGCTTATAAGTGAAAACTAAAAAGTATTAATTTTAATGTTCCCTGGAATTCTTACATCTGAAAACTCATATTTCTCTTATGAAGTACTGAGTGGATTTGCTATCAAGCATTTGTTGGTTTAGAAATAAAGTATTGACATCTTCTTTGATTGTACATTATTGTAATGACTGTGTCTAACATTTGATTACTGTGATATTTAATTTCCAATTAGTTCTGATACTCAAAACTATCAGTTACCCATGAAGATAGCTTAAGGGGTACAGTGTATAAGACATATTAGAATTGTCAGAAAAACTTGACCAGGAAAAAGGTCCTCTGCAGAATTCTCTGCATACAGCCGTCCATCCTATAGGATATTTTGGTTCACAGCAGGAGATATAAGACTTGTTTTCTGGCATGAATATGTGGTAATGACTGTCACTCCATCAGAAGGGCATAATAACATTCTCACTTTATACTTGTAGGAGTTAAATGTAAATTAGCTTAGGTGGAATCCTTCCCCCTCCCCTCCCAACCCCTGTCTGGTGTAGGGTTTTCTTGTTTTGGGTTTGGTTTTTTAGTTACTGTTAATTTGCAAAAGGAGGCTAAGCAAGCCTCAGTGTTGGTATTGTATGTTTAGCCAAGCATGAAGGTTCCATTTAATCTCGTACAGCATGTGTTGGTGATTTTGTATATGTGCAACAGTGTTTGTCCTTAAGTTTGCAGCAACTAATAACGTCTTGAATTTTATCTAAAGGGGAAAACCAGCTTGTTCCTAAGATATCTGAAGAGAAGTCAAGGCAATGATAAATTATTAGAAATGTGCAACTATCTTTGTGCTTAAGTTTGCAACAACTGAGAAGTTGTTGAATATGTACAATCTGATGGGGAAAAAGAGCTTGTTCCCAAGAAGTCTGAAGAAAAATCAAAGCAATCATAAATTATTAGTAACTAAATTTCTAAGTGGAAATAACTGTGAATACTTACTGGGTATAGGAAAGTGGTAATTAGCACATGTACATAAACAGAGCCTCAGAGAAGATCTGGCTCATGGATCTTTTCTGTCGGCTTTCTAGTTTTTCTCTTTATGTAAATGTGAAGAGTTTTAGTACCTGTTTAGCTGTTTCATTGTTAAGTCTTTAAACTCATGAACTGACTCTTTAAATTGGTGACTTTCTTGTTGTGAGTAATCCAGGATCCCATCGTACAGCTATCAGACATAAAGGACAATTAAACAGTGTTGGCTTGACTAGGAAATAATTGAAATTAATGGAAAATTTCTAGTTGATTTTGCGTGACTTTTAATCATAAATTTGTAATGACTGTGTGTTCTTAGAGCCTCCTGTTAGTCAACTGCTGTTTAAAACTAATCAAGAGGGAGTTGCTTTGTTCTCTTGTAGTTGATACAGTGCCTGGTGCTATCATCTCTGTTAAATTTTGAAATCTGCCAATGATAAACGCATATGATTTTTGTCTAGAAGTTACTGGGCTAAATTCAATTATTTTTTAAAGGGTCAAGTGGTACTCATTTAGCAATATACAACTTTATTACCGTGTTTGAATTACTGATTTTTCTTTCCCATTTGTTCTATTCCCTGGCATAGTTACTATAACTCAGACTGCCTTCGGAGCTGCGTATTTAGTACAGGTAGATGAATGTGGTACAGATTTTAGCCTTTGTGTTTAACCTCTTAATTACAAAATAGGAAGAAGAATACAGGGGCACCAGTATGCCGAATAGTATCTGGCCCCCTACCGAAACAAGGATATTCTCCTCCCACAATTGAATTCTTACCACGTGCATATGGAGGATACCTTTCTTCCCGCTGAATGAGGATCTTGTAACAACCTGATGGCTGTCAGAAGAAACAGCTGTTTTTATTAGCTACAGCAATTCCATTCCCTGCAACCTGGCTGCACAGTTTTCAGACGGGTTGTTTGGAGAGATGCTAGTTCAGCTGTATGTAATTAAGCTGCAGTTGCACAATAATGTAGTAGTTCTGCAGAACAAAATAATTTGAGTTTATTGTACAGAACTTTTACTGGGGTATTTGAAATTGCCTAATAAAACTTTGTTTCCTTTAGAGAAGTAGAATATATAGCGATTATGCATAGGCTGTTAGCCTTTGTTTGGCTTTGTAAGCACCAAACCATTAGAACTGTAGAATACTTTAGGTTGGTGAGGTCTCCAAAGTTCCTCTGCTCTAATCCCTAACTTAAAGCAAAACCAACTCCTGATCAGGTTCTTGCAGGCTTTATCCTTATAAGTAGCAGTAATTTGCCACTGTTTCCATAAACCCGTATCTTTTTTTTTTTTCCTATTCCTGATGGGAAAGATTAAGTAACTTTTGCCTTTACTATTCATGGGTCAAATATTCTACTTACTTAAATGTCGTGAGTAATCTTTCTAGTTTTTAATTTGTTATATTGATGTGTGTCCTGTTAGCTTAAGTTGTATACCCTTATGACAAACACCCATGTCTCTGAAGAATTTTGGAAAATCTGCTTTTTCTCCACAGGTCATAAAATCAATGTCCGTACTTGATTTTCAGCAATGTATCTGTCTTTCTCCACAGTTCATATACAGATAAAAATCTTTTACAAATCCATGTTGCCTCACAGCGGAAGAGAGACTGAGGCCTTACGAAGACAGAAAGTATACTACAGCCCTTCATTAAGGGAGGGGTAGTGAGTAAAGGGAGAATATAATTATAAACATTATCAATGTATTTAAGTCCACTAAGTAAAGTGTTTTATCATTTTTAGCTGAAGTTTTCGTTACAGTAGGTATATTTTAAGCCTTTTTGTGTTAAATAGATAAGTTGAGAATTCTCATCCTCTGTATGTTACCCTTATGTCTTGAACGTCTAATTATAAGTATTTTCTTTAGCAGTCCCTCCTCAGTCTCCTTCTTGCGCTTCTGAAATCTGTATGAAATGCTTTTCACAATCTTTTGTGTAGTTTGCCAAAGTGAATTATGTGTCATGTGTTATTACTAGTAACATCGTAAAATATGCTACTTACTTTGCTGTTCTCGTTTACTAGCGTTATAATCATCCAGAACAGTATTGACTTTAGATACTATTACATACGCTCATTTCTGAATGGACAAAATTAGCAGCCTTCTGTTCCATCAGCTAGAGCATAAACGTCGATAAAGTAGTATTGTACTAGCTCATCCTTTCTTTAGGGAACAGGTGTGTTTACTATCTGTTTTTAACTTCAGTAGCTGCAAATTAATGCAATACCATTTGAAAAGTCTCATTTCATGCCTTGTAATCTTTCATCCATTGCCAAGAGATGCAAATTTGCCGACTTTGAAAATTCAGTTTTCCTGGCTGTAGTTTCTACATGGGAACATTATGCTGTATTTATTGTATTTCCATATTTTTTTCCCTCTTTTGCATATTTTGGAGCACTATATGCTCTCTGTAAGACTAAAATACTTTGTTTCGAATTTTCAGTTATTTTTCCTTGTACAGTTCATGCATCTGCAGCACAGTTAGTGTGTACATCAGGAATCAGTGTTGAGACTCAGTCTTAACAGATAAACTTACTTACTAGTTTGTTAGTTAATCTTGCACTCAACTTGGCACACTGTTTGATGTCTTTATAATATCTCTTTTGATGTGTTTTGCTGGGAGACTGATCTATAAAAACCTGTCACCTGACTTCTTAAGATAACAGGGCTGTTGGAGCTTTCTGATGCATTGAGGTCTATGCTCTCTAAAAACGTTTAAGCAAACTATGTAATGAAATATCAAGTATGCAGACACTCAGGACTAAGGGCTATATGGTTACTTCTGGAGATTAATAATAACATTATTTTAGGTTCCTTTTAAATACTTAGTATTTTCTTTCACTGCTACAGGATTCTTCCTTTGAAGATAGATACGATGGCTATCTGACTTTGGCAGAATATGTACAAGACTTCCTAAATCACCTCACTGAACAACCAGGGTGTTTTGAAACTGAAATAGAGCAGTTTGCTGAAATGTTGAATGGCTGGGTCGCTGCAGATGAAGCTTTACAAGAACTTGTTGAACTCATCTATCAGCAGGTAGCCTGTATATTCTGTTCTATAACACTGATATTATGGCTCTGTTACCTGGTGTCCAAGGTATGCCAACCAGTATTATTTGTTACGTGTCTACACAGTATTTTAATGATTTGATTTTTTTTTTTCTTTTTAGACTGAACAATATTTAGCATATTTAGCAGGAAAATATTTAGCATAATAGATTAAAATGGTAACTCAAGTGTGGGATACTTGGATGACTGGTAATTTTCTCTGATTTACACTATTTCCTTTGTCACTGGGTCACAGGGTTGAAATTACAGCACTAATTAACGAGAGTTATATTTGAATTGCTGTATTGATGTCATAGAGATTGAGTAAGCTTTTAAGCACTACTTACTCTATCCTGCAAAAAAAAAATTCTTCATAATACTAAGATACTCTTATTTCCTTGGTATTTTAAAAGATTAAATTTATCATGCTGTACACATCACCCTTCGGGAAATGCTCCTTTATTGGCCGGCTTTCTTCTTCATTTGGAATATACCTATTTCAGAACAGCATAACTGGAGGAAAAGAAAGCTGTTCTAATTGTAACTAGGTCTAGTCCTGTTCATGGCCATGGAAATGAGGACAGAGACCTTGAGCTGAACTCTGTACTAATTGGTGGAACCATTGGAAAGTACAGTTAAATATGTGTTGCTCAGCAAATGAGCTGCTGTTACTGTCTGCAGTATGAGCAGATAATGAAGTCACACTTGTGCTTGCTATTTATTGCATTCAGTGTCACTCGCTTTCCTGGGTTGATTACTTTCAAACTCTACCTTGAAGAATGCAAGCTCTTTTTCACCTTTTACGCGTAGATATTTCCAGAATATTTTAACCTGGGGTGTGTAAAAGCTGCATGACTCGTTGGTCATTGTAGAGAACAGTAGACTCTTAAGATTCTTATCATACAGAATTGATGCACGTTTAATTCAGAACAGTTTAATCTGACATTAAAATTACCTATGCTGTCTTTGGCAGTATCATTTTCCCATCCTTTATTTGAACACATGGAGAATAGCTAAAAAAAAATAAATAAAAAAGTGAATGCGGTCCATATAGCTTTACTGGAAGAAAAAAAGGATTTTATCCCATTTTTAACTTCCTGTATGTTAGATAAATTGACTCTCATTTAACATAAGTCTTTAATGTTGCCTCTTCCCCCTCCACTTATTTAAAAACAAGGCCGGTATTATGGCTGGTTGTGCCTTCATCAGCTAAGAAGCAGTGTGTATTAACAGCCTTAAAGTCTATGAAAAATAAAACACCACAAAAAAGCCTGTGCTAGTATCCAAAAGCATCCAATTGTAGTTTTATTGTATGTCAGGGTAGGATAGTGTTCAAGTGTAAATCAACTGTGCTTATTATTCTTCTGCATTCAGCTGAGGCTCAAGTATTTGTGTTTCCTGGATTATCACAAAACAATTAAAATTGCTGAGGTGTATTTATAAGCATCTGCTTTAACACAACTAAGCAGATCTACAGATGCTAGGTTTGTGAAGGAAAAAGACTCAATTGAAGGAAACCCAAGTGCTCTACAGTTTTCCCTTCATCTGCGTGTCAGGTATCTTAGCCTGTCTGTATTAATTATATACTTGCCTCTATTCTTCCTAATTGATTGATTTCTCTGGACAGAGTGAGATGCCAGTTTTCTTGTTTTCCAAAAGCTGATCACTCTGACTTCGTAGCTTAAGAGTCTTTACTATTGGATAATTAATACAGTGGATTGTTCTTGTAACAGCAACTAAAATTTCTCAATGCATGTATGGGTAGATTAGCTTTCATGCTTAGATTGTGACTTTTTTAGAGTCAGAGATAAGCTGGAATTATTAGCAACAATAATTCAGGGAAGATTATATTTCACTGCAGTGATTGGTGATTAAGATGTTTTTTGGTCTCTCTTTGCTGTACTGTGTCACAATACCTAAAATTTAATTGCAACCACATTAACTATTGCAACCGCATTAACTATTTAGAAACCACATTTAGAAACTACTATTTAGAAACCACATTAACTATTTAGAAAAATAATATTTAAAAAGTACAGATGAAATTTGAAGAATTTGTGTGCACATGTTTGGTTTAGTTTGGTGTTTTACCCTACAAAAACAAAACATCTCTTCTAGTCTGAGTGACTGCTTTAACCAAAGCACCAAAAAGCTTGTTAACCATTTCGTATATCTGTTACTGGAAATTAAATTCTGTTTGACTGTCTTAATTAATTAAATTTGTATCTTTCAAAGACACTTACTTTTCTTCCAGCTACTTAATGCACATAGTACGTTTACATTGAGTACATATTTTTCTCTGACTGTAGAAGGTAGCTGACATGCTAAGTAAGATGCTTTTTCCAAACATGTTAGAAGCAGGAGCATGCAAGCACGTCTACAGCATTGATAGATGGTAAAGATGGAAAAGAAATGTTCGGAGATGGTAAAGCTATAGGAGGAGTGTAGTGAGCTCTTAGCATCCCTGTGTTGTCCTTGGCAGAACTGATGGAGAACCTCTTCCACTGATGCAGAACCTCTTTTCACTGAAGCTGTACCTGAGAAGTAATCTCAAATCAAGTGTTAGAATTATAGAATTATAGGTTAGAAAAGATGTTTCAGATGATAAAGACCAACCATTAACTTAGCAATGCCAAGTCCACCATTAAACCATATCAGTAAGCACCCCATCTACACGCCTTTGAAACTCCTCCAGTGTCTCACCACTTCTCTGGGCAGCCTGTTGCAACGCTTAGCAACCTGTTCTGTGAAAGCGTGTTTCCTAATATCCAATCTAAGCCTCCCCTGGCACAACTGCAGGCCATTGCCACTTGTCCTATCAGTTGTTACTTGGGAGAAGAGACTGATGCCCACCTCCTTTCAAGTAGTTGCAGAGAGTGATAAGGTCTCCCCTCAGCCTCCTTTTCTCCAGGCTAAACAACCCCAGTTCCCTCAGCCGCTCCTCGTAAGATTTGTGTTCGAGACCTTTCACCAGCTTTATTGCCCTTCTCTGGGCACGCTCCAGCACCTCAATGTCTTTCTTAGAGTGAAGGGCCCAAGACTGAACACGGGATTCAAGAAGAGAGAAGACTTCAAAACAAGTGGACAGTAATAAATTGCCAAAAATAAGGGGATGTTCTGCATTAAGTTCTGTGAGAGGTTCAGCATACATACTATTGGATTCCCAATCACTTTTTTCCACCAGTTGAAATTTTAAAGTATCAGATTTAAAGGAACATATTTTTGAAACCATTTGTAACTTACATTGTGGAATTTCATTGCTGTCACCTGGTTTTAGATAGCAAAAGTGCAAATGTTCAACAGTTACAGGACTTCTTTTATCAAAAAAGGACCTATGGAGAAGTATTAGCTGTAATGATACTGTTTTAGCCTTTGTGTCAGGAGTTTGCTACTCAATTGCTGGACTACGTACAGAATAGAGTACTTATCTTTACTTGCCATGTTCTTTTACTCACTCCCTAGGCATTCACTGTTGCCAAAACCAGATTCTGTGATAAATAGCTCTTAGATTGAATTAAGGCAACTTTTTTTTAATCTACTCATTGCTTCTTGAGAGAGTCTGTGTTTCTGAAAAAAACATCTTAATGTCCACTGTGGATTTTTTTGCATAAAGAGTTTGTAGTCTCTTTCAGACATGGTTTGGTTGTAGGTCACAATGGAGAAGTAGAATTGAGGACACGTGGCATAGTGCTGGTTGTTTTCTTAAAGCCACAAAGTCACAGGATAATGAACTTTTTAAGTGTTGAAATGAATATAGCAAACTGTTGATGAGAAACAAAAATTAGTGTGACACATAGTAATTATTAATCTTATGTTCTTAAGTGGTTCAGCTGTGGTTAAACACAATTTTCAAAAGAACTTTTGAAGGTATTTCCTGATAACCTAATCATGGGGTTTGTGAATAATTTTTGTCCACTTTTATTTTGGAAGGCCACATCTGTCCCGAATTTTTCATACATGGGAGCACGGTTGTGTAACTATCTATCTCACCATCTAACTATTAGTCCACAAAGTGGGAACTTCCGACAGTTGTTACTTCAAAGGTCAGTATCATCATGTCATTTTAAGCTTGTTGGTGTGTCAGATTGTGTCGTGCTATTTTGCGTGTAACTCCTAGTGTCATATGCAAATATGTATTTATTTCTTTAAAATAGTTTAGAATGAGGATTACTGAAGTACAGGTACATACTGGTTATTGAATACGTATATTTTTAAATATGGAAATAGGACTGCATTTTGAGTTTGTAGGCTGTTTCGAACTATGTTAGAGTCAGATGAAATTACTGGGTAAGTTTGAAAGGTAATCAACTGTGTAAGCATACAAAATGCACGTGTACTGTCCTTGCCCTTTGACTCTTACTAGGACTTATTTCATTATGTTTTTTCTTTAATTACTTTTCCAACTGGAGTTGCTACATAAGATTAATTCGTTGATCAGCTAACTGACCTTTTATCTATGAAGTTAAATGCATTTTATCAAAAAGGATAAACCTCTTCAATTTTCAGTTACTACAGAGTTCTGGAGGCTTACGGTTTAAGAACTATTAGACTTCATAGTTATCAAAAAAGCAACATTTTTTTAAATTAATATATATCCTTTTAAATCTTACTGCATGATGTTTGTAGGCCTAGTACTCTTTAATAGTTCATAACTCTCTTGGAAATCAAAAGTTTTTCTTAGTCCACCTATGTTTAGGAGCAAAACGATGATGAACTTTTAACACCACTGCATTCTGATGATCTTTTATCATGAGTGGTACTTTATGGAGAAGCTGAAATTACTTCTTTTCTCCCTTGTCACCAAGCAGATGAGCCTTTTTGCTTTCAAAATTATCACTTATCTTCCGGGGGTTTTTTAAGGGTATTTGTTACTTGAACATGAAAGACATTCCTGTTAATGTGGATTATCTGGTTCCTATTTTTTAAAGCCAACTCAATTGATAACATTAATTTTTGCACCCTGAAGCCATGAATTTAAAATTGCTTCTTATTTTATAGCTAATATGTGTGGAATTGGCAGGGAGAGGAAAGGGAAGTAAACAACAATATGACCACAGAGAGCTCCTCTTCTGTTTCTGAGCCCAAGCTTTGACTTTAGATTTTGTATTTCAGCTCCTTAGATTTTTCAGTTTCTCTGGTGTTTATTAATCCATTACATAACCAGTGAGAATACATTAGATGAGTCTGGCTTTCCTTTTATCTCATATTTTTTAATTCTGTGTTTGAACTGCTGTGTAAACTCGTATATTTTTGGCACAGTTCCCAGACGCTAGAAAAATTACCTCACTGCCATGTTTTCTTAATCCTCTCTGTATTTATATCTAAATTAGACTCATGAAATGGTTCAGGTTGGAAGGGACTGTAGAGATCATCTGCTTCCAACCCCCTGCCATGGGCAGGGGCACCTCCCACTAGACCAGGTTGCTCAAAGCCCCGTCCAGCCTGGCCTTGAACATGTCCAGGTAGGAGGCATCCACAGCTTCCCTGGGCAACCTGTTGCAGTGCCTCACCATCTTCACAGTAAACAATTCCTTCCTTACATCTAATCTAAATCCGTCCTCTTTGTTTGAAACTGTTATCTTTTGTCCTATCGCTACTCTCCTTGATATAGAGTCCCTCCCCATGTTTCTTACAGGCCCCCTTTAGGTACTGAACAGCCACAAAAAGTCTCCCTGGAGCCTTCTGTTCTCCAGGCTGAAGAGACCCAACTTCCCTCTGCCTGTCCTCATAAGAGAGGTGCTGTGATTATGTTCATAGCCCTCCTCTGGACCTGCTCCAACAAGTCTGTGTATTATGCTGGAGGCCCCAGAGGTGAATGCAGTACCCCCGGTTTGGTCTCACAAGAGTAGAGGGCAAAAATCACCACCTTCAACCTCCTGGCCATGCTTCTTTTGATGCAGCCCAGGATGTGAATGGTTTTCTGGAGTGCAAGAACACGCTACTGGCTCATACTCAGTTTTTCATCCACCAGCACCTCCAAGTCCTGCTCTACAGGGCTCCTCTCAATCCACTCATGGCCCAGCCTCTATCTGTGCTTCAAATTGCCGTGACCCAGGTGCAGGACCTTGCTCTTGGCCTTCTTAAATGTCGTGAGGTTCATGTGGGCCCAACTCTCAAGTCTGTCAAGGTCCCTCTAGATCCTATCTCCTCCCTCCGCACTCTCAGTTGGCTTGGTGTCATGAATTATGCATCACTGTCACTTAAAATAGTGAGACAAAGAATTTATTGAGTAAGTGTAAAGGAATCGTCTAAGACAATGTGGGTGGCATCCTGAAAAGGGGAAAAAATGACTTTCAGAGTGTATCTGCTTTTATTTCTGTGGACATTTGGCTGACAGTTAAACTTCCTGGGCCCATATTCAGTTATAGAAACTGTAATTATCTTATTTTTACATGTTGTAATTTGCTTCATTTCATTTTGCTGTCTCAGGTAATCATAGTGCTTGAAAACATAATTATGTAGTCATAAGTATTCATCTAATAGTCACATAAATCCATGGTGTCTTTGTGATGTCTTCTCATTTCCTTCACAAGTCATACATGGACAGCATGTAACAGTTTTAGTGCAGTTCCTAAGTTGTTAGCATTCTGTTAAATTAGTATGTTATGTATGTTGGAATGTATACAGATGATATGATTCTATTTTAATGTTTACAGATGTCGAACAGAGTATGAAAACAGAGATGAAGCTACCAAAGGGGATGAGACTACTCGAAAACAATTTCATGCATTTGTGCTGTTCTTAGCTGAACTTTACCTTAACTTAGAGGTAAGAAGAAGGTTGCATGTCAGATGGTTCTTCATTATTTTTTTTGTTGTATTTAGGTAAATGCTGAAATGATATACAGTTTGAGGTGTTTTTCTAAAGGCAGAAAGAACCTTGGAACAGTTTCATTGCAATGCATGTCCAAGAAACAGATAAACAAGAGAGAAGTGTACAAATATTAAAAATAATTGTAAACATTAAGTACATTAGTAATTAAATACGTGAAGAGTGCCTTCTAGAAATAAGCCACTGCAGCTGTAGATAATACATAATATAGTATGGGGAAGAGCCTAAGGTTCTGAGAATTTGGGATAGTGGACCATTTGCCAGGGATTTGGTAGTTTTTCTAGCAATCTGTTAGCAAAGAAACAAAATGCAAGACATGCATTTTTATGTACATGTCAGAATTGTGAGGATATTACTCAGTATTCTAAAATAGTTATAATATTTGGCATGTTCTTCCAATTAAAGAGCTCAGCTACACTGATCACAAACTTAATCATACAGCATTCAAGAGAGAAAATGTGACTAATTTCTGAAACCGAAGTCTTCTAAATGTTTTGTTGTTTTAGGGTTTTTTTTGTAATATATATATATTTATTGCAGATTAAAGGAACAAAGGGACAGGTAACACGAGCAGAAATTCTTCAAGAAGGCCTTCGGGAGTTACTAAATGCACTCTTCTCTAATCCCGTGGACAGTAATTTGATATGTGCAGTGAAACTGCTGAAGGTGAGACAGTAGTTTAAAAAGAAAAAAAATTATCTGGGTTTTTTAGCCTTCCTGTCTCTGGGAGTAGTGGGGGAAACTGCAGGTGAGGAAGTGTAATGCATAAAACTCTATACACTTCATTAGCAGAGCAAGCTGCTTTTTTGTTGTTGTTGTTAGTACCATTATGAAAAACAAAAAAATAATGTGCTGCTCTAAAAGTAAAATGTGAGGCAATCTGTGTATGTACAAGAGCAGTAGAACTGAAGCCAAGCACAAAGGAGTAAAGCAGTCCCTTCAGGCCATCTTTTCCTGCTGCTTGTGTAAGGGAAAATTAACAAATTTGAATAAATTGTGGGGTTTGGGGCATGTTGTCTATTCTGAAGGACACTCAGGGTGTACTGCTTTGTGTGGCAAAAGGTACTTGATACCAGTCATTTCATACTGTATTGTCTGCTTCTTTACTACTTTAGAAATTCATGTATTTCTCTTTTCATGATGAAAACAAATGTCTTTGCTCCTAAGTTTTACTTCTTATAAAGAAAATAGGCTTTCTGCAAGGAGAAACTTTCATCTTCACTAGCCATGGTTATATTCATAGTTGGGAAAACTATTTTAGGAATGAAGGTTAAAAGCTAATCAGTATTTTTCTGGAGTTTTGTTTATTTTCATGGTTGGTTGGTTTTGTTTGCTTTGTTCTTCCCCCTTCTTCCTACTCTTTTCAAACTCTTCTGTCTTGAATTCCAGTTCTGGCAGCTTCTTTTGTGATATGGTTAATGGGGAATAGGGAAGAGAGGCTTTACACCTTCCAACCTTCATTTGAAGTTTGGATGTTTAAGGATGTTGCTTCATAGCAAATGTGAGTTGTCCAGCGAGCACATTCACTCCTGTGGTCGCAGAACCACGGAATGTTAGGGGTTGGAAGGGACATAAGGAAGTTCATCTAGTCCAATCCCTGTGATGTTGCTAAATCTAAAAGGTGTTACAGAACAGAAGTACTTGTTTTTGAATGCAAGTGTTCTTTGATTTCTTACAGTATCTACAAATGTTGGAATGTTTCTGTAGCTAGACTGGGCTACCTCATGAAACCTTGGTTTCCACTACTGAAGCACTAAATATCTTCTGTTGTCTTTTTCATTTCATAAATGTTTGCTTTGCAATATGTTTATTTTTAATTAAACCTTCTGGTACCCAGGATCAAGGTAGGACCACAGTAATATACTGGGAATGCCAAACAAGTGGTTACTAAGATGCTTGCTTATATCTTTGCATTTTATTCCTTTTTAACATCAGTGCCATTGCAAGCATTTTGGATCATGTAATGTTTATGCTGATCAGGAATATTTATGTAGATCAGGAATTGCTATTAACGTTGATCATAGTGGCAAACTAATTTTTTCTAACTTAACTTCTCCTGTGCAATTATTGGGCAATTAAGTACCTTTTTTTAATGTAAAAGACTTTAATCCACAGCAGTTCTAAGCTGTCTGCTGCTAAAGCTCTTTCAGAAGCAGCTTGAGCTCACAGGTTATTAAAATTGAGGCCAGCTTGGTCAGGTAATTCTTGTCTGTTTGTTATTCTTGGGTCAGCTGGTGGCATCATCTGCAAAAATAAGGTCTCCTTTTTTATATCATATATTTAAATCATGTTAGGTCTGACAAGTGTCATTGAACAGTTGGTTTAAATCATACTTCAAGACTGAAATGGTGGAAAGAGCTGTGAAATTCTAGGTAACATAAACACTGGACATAGAGCTACCTTACTGTCTGTAATCTAAAATAAACTATTTACAACGTCTATTAATCTATTTAGCAAAAATATGTAGGCAGTTGGGACCTTCAGCCCTCAGGTAGTCACACAGTGCATCTAAACATTATCGTTACAGAATCTCTCCTGTTGATAGTTTATTAAAGTTTTGTAATTTTCTTTAAGAAAAATAAAAATTAATCCGTTGTTTTTAGTTGACAGGCTCAGTTTTAGAAGATGCCTGGAAGGAAAAAGGAAAGAATGATATGGAGGAAATGATTCAGAGAATCGAAAATGTTGTGTTGGATGCAAACTGTAGCAGGTGAGAAGAAAAATTTATGTGCAGTTTTCATATTAAACAGAACACCTTAAAAATTGTCAAGAATAATGAACAAGTCTAAAATACTATCTTAAATACTTTAATTTATGAAAAGTAAGATGAAGTTTGTATCACTTCCCAGGTAGAAAAAGGCATTTTTCAGTTAAGGGAGTGTGGTGGGTTTTTCGTTGGTTTTCCTTTTCATGTTTCAATTTTATCTTTTAATAGAGATGTATGTTCCACTCAAATGATTATTTTTTATTACTTTAACATTTTCAACCTTGAAATCTTATGTAATTGGTTTAGGCTCTAAGATCAGGTATACATACATGAAGAGACAATAGTGGCAATATCTCATAGTTGATACTTTTAAATCTGATTTTAACAGTATTAAATGTATACAAATCACTATAAATGTAAAGGCAAAATGGAATATGCTTTGTGGTTGAGCTTGTTTTTTCTCTGGAGAGCATACCTTTTTGCAGTCTGGAAAAAAAAAATGAGTGGTTGGCTAATGTATTCTACTTCTCAGCTGCGTGTATGAAGTGATCTATTCCGGCTGTAAAAAAAAATCCTCAACTTCTTGCAGACTTACTAAAAAACGTATAGAGGGTTCAGACGCTGTGACCTGACCTCTTGCCATAGGGAAGGGAGACCAACAGGGAGCTCATAGCATCTGTGAGTGGTAACTGAGCTGCGCCCAGGGTAGATGAGAATTTTGCTTCAGGAAAGAGAGAAAGCTAATAGCGCAAGCTGAGGCTTCAGAGACACAGAATCGCAAACTTAATTTATTAGAGAAAACAACTGAAGTGTTTGTTTATTTATTCATACTTCATTCGAGGTCCCTTCCAGTCCCTAACATTCTGCGATTCTGTGTGACTTGCTTAAAAGAAGGCAATTTCTCTTTTTTTTAAGGGTGAAATGAGTAGTGGTATCTAATGTATCGAAGTCATTGCTTCTCATCGTTTGCTGTGAAATTTTAGTGGGATTAAGATGGCTTAAGTTAGGAGCATAGATTAGATAATGAAAATACAGTTTGAAGATCATCTTCCTCCTTTTCCCGGGACTATCCTTTTATCAGAAAAGGATTTGTTCCTCAGCTTGTGCTGAAGATTTGGTATCTTGATAAAAAACTATAGCAATTTGTTTCATATGGATTCCTTACTTTACTACAGAGCAAGTGGAGAGGTTAGGTGTCTCATAATTGACACGTAAGGCATCTAGACTTGCAGGGGGGAAATAATTAAAAATTATTAAAAATAATTTTTAAAAATTATTAAAAATAATTACTACAAGAAAGATACAGACATGCTGGAAT